CTGACAGCTGAGAGTGGGACAGGTGTTCTCTGTATTATCACCATTATAAGCAAGTTGTGATGGTGCTTAGAGTAAATCTATCCTATGTTACCACAGTGAGTCTCCAATTCCAAGTATATTTCTCGCATCCAACGAGCAACTTCCAATTCCTTACGCGTTCACTACGAATTACTCAACCTATTTTTCCCAACCAGGAATAATAAATATCCCTGGCTGGGCAAATCTAGCAGGATAAAGGGAAGCAGTGAAATAATGTTAAAGGAACACTATAGGGTCAGGAATAAAAACATGTATTCCTGACCCTATAGTGATAAAAACCACAATTTAGGTGGCTTGACCTCCCCCTTGGCCCCCTTAGAAGAGGTTAAAACTTACCTTATTTCCACTGTTGCGCAGGTCCGCCGGCGCTGGCCCCTCCCCTATCTGCCTTCTTGATGACATCATCAGAATTTACGATATTTAGCCAATCCAACGCTTTCTCATAGGGACAGCATTGCATTGGCTGAAATCGGCAAGGAGTCGTGATGTGGGCAGGGCCAAACACTGTTTTGGCCAATCAGCACCTCCTCATAGAGAAGCATTAAATCAATACATCTCTATGAGGAAAATTCAACTTTGAATGGCAGTGCTGCCTACTGTGCAGCACTGTCCCAGGAAGCACCTCCAGTGGCCATTTGAGGAGTGACCACAGGAGGTGTCCCTAGGGGGCAATGTAAACGCTGCTTTTTCTGTGACAAGGCAGTGTTTGCATGAAAATGCCTGAAGGGAATGATTATACTTACCAGAACAACTACATTAAGCTGTAGTTGTTCTGGTGACTATAGTGTCCCTTTAACTTCTACATGGCAGAGAATTGGGCACTAAACCTGCTTCATTAAGCTAGAGTTGATGTATAGGACTCCTTTAACACTGATGATTTTGTAGAAAGTGTTCAATATTGTCTAAACACTGTGATATGACTGTGATATGACTCTGTGGTGGAACACAGAGAGCGAGCCAGGAAATTAAAGCCGGATGTGTTCTGTTTTAATTGCAGCTTCACCAATGTCTATTGTCAGTTATCTGTGTAATAAACATAGCCAAACCCAAAGCCCTGGGACAATAAAAACTTGAACTGCGTGTTCCTCCATATTAAAAATGTCCTGCCCTCATCTTGGCAAACCTTATCACTGCGGGTGCTATAATACTCCCCTACCCACAAAGCACAATCACTGTGTGAATTGGAGTACCCAAGCATTTGCAGTGCAATGATAGACATCACTGACTAAGGTTAAGTGTAGGAGTCTGAAAAAGAATCCCAATTCAGTGTTTATATTTTTTTTGTGATTGTCAGATGCGTTCCAGACTTAGCAAGTCATAATGAACAAGACACTTGCATCTTGAACTGATTTCTCTTATATAACCGTATATCTTTTAGTAATTCAATCACACTTATTCTGAGTGTATGAAATGGAACTGGCACGCTACTCTAAGTAACCTTAGCCCTTAAATGATACACTTAATACTTCAGTAATGGCAGACAGCTTGATTTGACAGCGCCAGACAGGACTCCGCAAACTGGTACCTTTGGTTAAAAAAGGTTTTAAAACATTACCTTTTTTTTTCCTTTTTTCTTTTTATTTAGCAGATTTTAGAAAAAACACGTAAAATTTGATTCTAGAGTTGCTATAAATAATAGTATGTCGAATGGTTGTAAATCTGACCAAGAGTGAGAGCAGATCTGTGTGGTTATAATTTAAAATTGGTTTTCACCCAATGTTCTTTTCCAAATGATTGGGATCGATACCAAATGACTCCGTGTCAGGCTTTGCCACACTGCGTATTATATATAAACAGTAAAATAACATATGGTACTGCTTACAGTGAGATAACAGACTTCACAGATATCACGGTTAACACAACAAATGTCAAGAACACTAAGATTTAATGAATGTTGACATATATATTCCATGTGCGGGGGACCACGTTTGAACACTTTTTGGCAAATGTTTTTAGAAAATGCATACTGCAAGGCTTCATTAAGCTGAAACAATGAATTTCTGAAAAGTACAGCTGGTGCGGAGAACCACATCATATGCTGTTGAAGTGCTTGCTGCACTGCGGGGATCACTGGAGGATCTTGTAGTTTCTGTACTTCTCCTTTATCGAGTCACAAAAGTGCAGAGGTTTGCATTTAACCTGGCCCAGATTTCACTAAATGTTCTGCCAGATGATCTACTATGCACACTGCAAACACAGGTTTAATTTGTAAAAAGACATTACAGCACTTACAGTTCTTCTGTATCTCTTTCCTTTATTAAGGGGATACTATAAATGCCAGGAATACAAAGCTATATTCCTGGCACTATAGCTCCCTCTGCCTCCCCCCTTCCTCGCGCCCCCCCACCCTAGTAATTAAAGGGTTACAAAAATCCATTATTTAGTTACCTTTTCCCAGAACCAATGTCCCTCGACACTGGACCAATGCTCCGCTTCCTCCGGCGGCCCATGATGAGTAGGCTCTAATGCGCATGCGCGGCCCATGCGAGGTCATCATGCAGAGCGTGAGGACGTCCAGCGTCAGATCCCAGACCAAAAGTCTGTTTCGATTCAGGGCGCCCTCTAGTGGCTATGTGATAGACAGCCACTGACGGCAGACTTAGAGCTGCAATGTAAACACTCTAGTTTCTCTGGAACTGCAATGTTTAACATTGCAGCACTAAGTGCAAAAGGGACACCGCACCCAGATCACTTCAATGAGCTAAAGTGGTCTGGGTGCCTACAGTGTCCCTTTAAGTAAAGTCAAAGCAGAAATATGTGCCACTCTGTCACAGGTATCATTTTCCTAATTGGGTATAATCTTTACTTATTTACTTATGGCACACAGTGTCACCAAAAGAGTACCATTTTACAAAAAGAGTAGATTTCAAAAGAAATTGGTACTTTTATTAATTAACCTTGTTACACCCCCTCTGCTGTCAATCAGACAGCAGGTCCTGTTACTTCCTGGTTTAGCTCAATGGCGCTAAACTCAAGAGGCAGCAAATGCCCAGAGCACCTGCCCTGGAAAGACTTCTCATAGAGCTGCATTGGGAAGTCTGTGATTGGACAGCAACAGAATGACTGGGCTGGGTAAGAAAGGGAGGGCTTGCAAAGGCAGCAGACAAGAGATCTGCAGCTTTTATCAGCTGCTTTTAGATATAACCCAAATAAAAAATGCATAATTAAATGCATGCATGTTTTCATTGGGGTTATATCTACTAAATAGTGATCGTTTTATATGGGTAGTGAAATGTCGCCTTATTTCCTTTCATCAACATATGATCGGTACACAATACCAAGCAATACTTTACACTTGACACTCAACAAAGTCTGGAAGGGATGAATGGATGTGTTCACAGGAAAACATGGTGGGTCTGGTAAACATGGGTACCAAATTAATGTATTCTCATTTAAATGTATTAACCATTTAAGAGTCAGGTAAAACAATGGTTTTACACTCAACGACCAATAACTTCATTAAGATATTGGAATTTAATTTTTAAAAACAATACAAACCTTGTTTAATGCTTTGAGTGACAGATACATAAACTACATTTTAAAGCTCATCTGGTACTCAAAAATGTAGAGTTGACATGTTAATAGTTTTCGGAAACACATCTCCAAACTATTGTGGTATACCAAGATGTCCCATGCCTACGGTGCATGCGCAGAGATATTGTGGAGATACAGGGGTTTATTCATGACAAAGCAAATGATGATCAGATTGTAAATCCAATTGCTAAATACAAGCCAAAATGGAAGATTTGGAAACATTCTCTAACTCAGTTGTTTCCACAACGTTATTACTTTATTATTTTGAAATGTTTACAGTTCATCACCAAAAGATTAGGCAGCTGTTTAGGCACCAATCATGTCTGTAGCATCCACCAGAGGTGTACTGACAGAGGCATTCACATCTATAATAACAAATAAATAAAATATTAGGACAACTGATGAAAACGAGAAAAATATCATATATGCCTCCACCATAAATAATATAAAATAAGACTGCATTTTTCAATATTTTGAAAAGAATTGAGATTATTTAATTTAACATATTTTAGATGATGCTGTTTCTGCTTTCCTAATAGATATTTAGAATGAAAATCACAGTTTCTGTCCTGCCCCCCTGTATATAGAACAACTGAATTGTTTCTCTTAATTGGGCGCAAAATCAGAGAGCGGTGCTAATCTATCTACAAAATACCCCCATGCTCTCAATCTGCACTGCCGATTTTACTTAAAGAAGAAACAAATTCACTTTTTATAAATATGAGAAAAACACACTTTTTTGCTGTAATAGCAAGAACTTTTTAATAAACTTTGATAAGAGCAACAATCTCCAGTGTGAAGTGTTTTGTACTGAACATTAGAAGTATCTTTATGGACAGACAAGGTGTCAGAAGGTAAAGGATCTCATCCACCGAACTCCATATTCCGTGGACCATTTTTTTCAGAATGGAAAAATGGAAAAACTTTGAAACAAACTGATCTGAAATGTTTCTCCAAATCTACCATCATCACAAGGTGCTGCCCTTCCACCTGGAATTAACTCATATAAACTCAGAGTCCAGTGAACAACCCTGTCTGCATTTCTTATCATTTATATACAGTTGATGCCATTCTTTAAGAAGAATATAAATGGTCATATGATTTGACTAAAGGAACATGAAACTTAGAAGCTTTGTCATGGCATTGTTGCCAGGAAGGGATTTGAAATAAAACACAATGCAAAACATCTTTAACTTGAATAACAATGAAAGAAATCACATGGAGGCAAATAAAGGCTGAAAGTGAGAAAACCCTGAACGAGGGTCCTTAATAACCAATGTCCTGACAAAACCTTCTACAACTTCTTGCCCTGTTTGTGGCCTCCTTTACACCTTGTCCTACTCATGGCCTACTTCTCATGGCCTCCCTTGTGTCTTGCTCTGCTCCGTAGCTTCGCTCCCACTGAACATAATCTGTGCGGAAGTTTCTTAATCTATTCTTGCGGCTTCCAGCTCATTCATTAACATCTTGTATTTTTCTTGTGAGTGTGTGTGACGCTCAGACATGGCCTCCAGCTTAGCCTGAGCGCTGGCGTTCTCCTCCTGAAGCAGGCATTGTGCGCTCATGGCTTCTGCACTCCGCAGGAAGATGTCCTCCGCAGTCGGCGCTGCTCCATCCTTCCTGAGCTGTTCTGCAGCATGCACCACCTCAGCCAACTTGTTCTTCTCCTCGCTCTCTTCAATCAGCAGTTGTTTTTTTGATTCCTCCATCTGCGATATTTCCAAGACAAGTCTCTTATCGTTATGGAGCTCACATAGACTCTTGTGTTTCCTTATCAGCTCCTCCAGCTGGTTCTCCAGCTCCATCCTCTGCTTCCTCCGCTTTAACTTCTCCTCCTGGATCTTCGAGGTCAGACTCTCTATTCTCTCATTGTGTGTCTCTGAAAGTTGTTGCTGTCTTTGGTTGTCTGACATCTTTTTGTCACTACTGAGCTGCAATATACTAAGTGTCTCTTGCTTCTTGTCCAGCAATTCTTGCAGATGCTTATTTTCTCCATTTAATTCATCCAATTCCTTGGTCATAGCATCGTACTGCATCTTGTGGCCCTGCAGCTCTTTACTCAGGAGATGTTTAGCTTGCTCAACCTTGGTTATTCTGTTAACCAGATCCTCGGTCTTCGGTTCAAAATCTCCACTGGGCAGAGTGGACGCCATGTTTTGGCACTGGCTGTATATTGTACGTGTCTATGAATATAGCAGTCTATAAATACTTCCAGTCACAGTGTGTATCGCCGGGTGTGTCCTGTCACAGTTTGTATTTTCCTGTCACAGTGTGTATCTCTGGCTGTGTCCTGTCACAGTGTGTATCTATGGGTGTGTCCTTTCACAGTGTGTATTTTCCTGTCACAGTGTGTATCTATGGGTGTGTCCTGTCACAGTGTGTATCTATGGGTGTGTCCTGTCACAGTGTGTATCTATGGGTGTGTCCTATCACAGTGTGTATTTTCCTGTCACAGTGTGTATCTATGGGTGTGCCCTGTCACAGTGTGTATCTATGGGTGTGTCCAGTCACAGTGTGTATTTTCCTGTCACAGTGTGTATCTATGGGTGTGTCCTGTCGCAGTCTGTATCTATGGGTGTGCCCTGTCGCAGTGTGTATCTAAGGGTGTGTCCAGTCACAGTGTGTATCTGTGGGTGTGCCCTATCACAGTGTGTATCTATGGGTGTTTCCTGTCACAGTGTGTATCTATGGGTGTGTCCTGTCACAGTGTGTATCTATGGGTGTTTCCTGTCACAGTGTGTATTTTCCTGTCACAGTGTGTATCTATGGGTGTGCCCTGTCACAGTGTGTATCTATGGGTGTGTCCAGTCACAGTGTGTATTTTCCTGTCACAGTGTGTATCTATGGGTGTGTCCTGTCACAGTGTGTATTTTCCTGTCACAGTGTGTATCTATGGGTGTGTCCTGTCGCAGTCTGTATCTATGGGTGTGCCCTGTCACAGTATGTATCTCTGGGTGTGTCCAGTCACAGTGTGTATCTATGGGTGTGCCTGTCACAGTGTGTATTTTCCTGTCACAGTGTGTATCTATGGGTGTGTCCTGTCACAGTGTGTATTTTCCTGTCACAGTGTGTATCTATGGGTGTGTCCTGTCGCAGTCTGTATCTATGGGTGTGCCCTGTCACAGTATGTATCTCTGGGTGTGTCCAGTCACAGTGTGTATCTATAGGTGTGTCCAGTCACAGTGTGTATCTGTGGGTGTGCCCTATCACAGTGTGTATCTATGGGTGTTTCCTGTCACAGTGTGTATTTTCCTGTCACAGTGTGTATCTATGGGTGTGCCCTGTCACAGTATGTATCTCTGGGTGTGTCCAGTCACAGTGTGTATCTATGGGTGTGCCCTGTCACAGTGTGTATCTAAGGGTGTGTCCAGTCACAGTGTGTATCTATGGGTGTGTCCTGTCACAGTGTGTATCTATGGGTGTTTCCTGTCACAGTGTGTATTTTCCTGTCACAGTGTGTATCTATGGGTGTGCCCTGTCACAGTGTGTATCTATGGGTGTGTCCAGTCACAGTGTGTATCTATGGGTGTGTCCTGTCACAGTGTGTATCTATGGGTGTGTCCTGTCACAGTGTGTATCTGCGGGTGTGTCCTTTCACAGTGTGTATCTATGGGTGTGTCCAGTCACAGTGTGTATCTATGGGTATGCCCTGTCACAGTGTGTATCTATGGGTGTGCCCTGTCACAGTGTGTATCTAAGGGTGTGTCCAGTCACAGTGTGTATCTATGGGTGTTTCCTGTCACAGTGTGTATCTATGGGTGTGTCCTGTCGCAGTGTGTATTTTCCTGTCACAGTGTGTATCTATGAGTGTTTCCTGTCACAGTGTGTATCTATGGGTGTGCCCTGTCACAGTGTGTATCTATGGGTGTGCCCTGTCACAGTGTGTATCTATGGGTGTGTCCAGTCACAGTGTGTATCTATGGGTGTGTCCTGTCACAGTGTGTATCTATGGGTGTGCCCTGTCACAGTGTGTATCTATGGGTGTGTCCAGTCACAGTGTGTATCTATGGGTGTGCCCTGTCACAGTCTGTATCTATGGGTGTGTCCTGTCACAGTGTGTATCTATGGGTGTGCCCTGTCACAGTGTGTATCTATGGGTGTTTCCTATCACAGTGTGTATCTATGGGTGTTTCCTGTCACAGTGTGTATCTATGGGTGTGTCCTGTCGCAGTGTGTATCTATGGGTGTGTCCTCTCACAGTGTGTATTTTCCTGTCACAGTGTGTATCTATGAGTGTTTCCTGTCACAGTGTGTATCTATGGGTGTGCCCTGTCACAGTCTGTATCTATGGGTGTTTCCTATCACAGTGTGTATCTATGGGTGTTTCCTGTCACAGTGTGTATCTATGAGTGTTTCCTGTCACAGTGTGTATCTATGGGTGTGGAGGATGCCGCCCGCCGAGCGCACGCCTGAAGGGGACCGCGGACGGCTGGAGGGTGAGTGCCGCGAGCGGACTGCAACCTCCCCTCGCAGCCGCCCGCGGGACCCTGACACAGTTTGTATTTTCCTGTCACAGTGTGTATCTATGGGTGTGTCCTGTCACAGTGTGTATCTATGGGTGTGTCCTGTCACAGTGTGTATTTTCCTGTGACAGTGTGTATCTATAGGTGTGTCCTGTCACAGTGTGTATTTTGCTGTCACAGTGTGTATCTATGGGTGTGCCCTGTCACAGTGTGTATCTATGGGTGTGTCATGTCACAGTGTGTATTTTCCTGTCACAGTGTGTATCTATGGGTGTGTCCTGTCACAGTGTGTATCTATGGGTGTGCCCTGTCACAGTGTGTATCTGTGGGTGTGTCCAGTTACAGTGTGTATTTTCCTGTCACATTGTGTATCTATGGGTGCATCCTGTCACAGTGTGTATCTATGGGTGTGTCCTGTCACAGTGTGTATTTTCCTGTCACAGTGTGTATTTTTCCAGTCACAGTGTGTGCTATTTTTCCTGTCACAGTGTGTATTTTTCCAGTCACAGTGTGTACTATTTTTCCTGTCACAGTGTGTGCTATTTTTCAAGTCACAGTGTACTATTTTCCAGTCACAGTGTGTATTTTCCAGTCATAGTGTGTGCTATTTTTCCAGTCACAATGTGCTATTTTTCCAGTCACAGTGTGTATTTTCCAGTCACAGTGTGTGCTATTTTTCCTGTCACAGTGTGCTATTTTTCCAGTCACAGTGTGTGCTATTTTTCCAGTCACAGTGTGTATTTTCCAGTCACAGTGTGCTATTTTTCCAGTCACAGTGTGTACTATTTTTCCAGTCACAGTGTGTGCTAGTTGTCCTGTCACAGTGTGCTATTTTCCAGTCACAGTGTGTGCTATTTTTCCAGTCACAGTGTGTATTTTCCAGTCACGGTGTGCTATTTTTCCAGTCACAGTGTGTACTATTTTTCCAGTCACAGTGTGTGCTATTTTTCCTGTCACAGTGTGTATTTTACCAGTCACAGTGTGTGCTATTTTTCCAGTCACAGTGTGTGCTAGTTTTCCTGTCACAGTGTGTTATTTTCCAGTCACAGTGTGTGCTATTTTTCCAGTCACAGTGTGTATTTTCCAGTCACGGTGTGCTATTTTTCCAGTCACAGTGTGTACTATTTTTCCAGTCACAGTGTTTGCTATTTTTCCTGTCACATTGTGTATTTTTCCAGTCACAGTGTGTGCTAGTTTTCCTGCCACAGTGTGCTATTTTCCAGTCACAGTGTGTGCTATTTTCCAGTCACAGTGTGTGCTATTTTTCCTGTCACAGTGTACTATTTTTCCAGTCACAGTGTGTGCTAGTTGTCCTGTCACAGTGTGCTATTTTCCAGTCACAGTGTGTGCTATTTTTCCAGTCACAGTGTGTATTTTCCAGTCACGGTGTGCTATTTTTCCAGTCACAGTGTGTACTATTTTTCCAGTCACAGTGTGTGCTATTTTTCCTGTCACAGTGTGTATTTTTCCAGTCACAGTGTGTGCTATTTTTCCAGTCACAGTGTGTGCTAGTTTTCCTGTCACAGTGTGTTATTTTCCAGTCACAGTGTGTGCTATTTTTCCAGTCACAGTGTGTATTTTCCAGTCACGGTGTGCTATTTTTCCAGTCACAGTGTGTACTATTTTTCCAGTCACAGTGTTTGCTATTTTTCCTGTCACATTGTGTATTTTTCCAGTCACAGTATGTGCTAGTTTTCCTGCCACAGTGTGCTATTTTCCAGTCACAGTGTGTGCTATTTTCCAGTCACAGTGTGTGCTATTTTTCCTGTCACAGTGTGCTATTTTTCCAGTCACAGTGTGTGCTAGTTGTCCTGTCACAGTGTGTGCTAATTTTTCCTGTCACAGTGTGTATTTTTCCAGTCACAGTGTGTATTTTTCCAATCACAGTGTGTGCTAGTTTTCCTGTCACAGCGTGCTATTTTCCAGTCACAGTGTGTGCTATTTTTCAAGTCACAGTCTGTATTTTCCAGTCACAGTGTGCTATTTTTCCTGTCACAGTGTGTATCTATGAGTGTTTCCTGTCACAGTGTGTATCTATGGGTGTGCCCTGTCACAGTCTGTATCTATGGGTGTTTCCTATCACAGTGTGTATCTATGGGTGTTTCCTGTCACAGTGTGTATCTATGAGTGTTTCCTGTCACGGTGTGTATCTAAGGGTGTGTCCAGTCACAGTGTGTATCTATGGGTGTTTCCTATCACAGTGTGTATCTATGGGTGTGTCCTGTCACAGTGTGTATCTATGGGTGTGGAGGATGCCGCCCGCCGAGCGCACGCCTGAAGGGGACCGCGGACGGCTGGAGGGTGAGTGCCGCGAGCGGACTGCAACCTCCCCTCGCAGCCGCCCGCGGGACCCTGACACAGTTTGTATTTTCCTGTCACAGTGTGTATCTATGGGTGTGTCCTGTCACAGTGTGTATCTATGGGTGTGTCCTGTCACAGTGTGTATTTTCCTGTGACAGTGTGTATCTATGGGTGTGTCCTGTCACAGTGTGTATTTTGCTGTCACAGTGTGTATCTATGGGTGTGCCCTGTCACAGTGTGTATCTATGGGTGTGTCATGTCACAGTGTGTATTTTCCTGTCACAGTGTGTATCTATGGGTGTGTCCTGTCACAGTGTGTATCTATGGGTGTGCCCTGTCACAGTGTGTATCTGTGGGTGTGTCCAGTTACAGTGTGTATTTTCCTGTCA